GAGAGCATGAGCTGGGGGAGAAGCAGATTCCTGGCTGCAGGGAGACTGATGCAGGGCTTGATCCCAGGACTCCAGAATCATGACCTGAGCCCAAGGCAGATGCTTAACCGACTGAACCACCCAGGCGCCCCTGGTCGATGGTATTGTAATAGGGTGACCGATGTGCCCACACTTGTGAGCACAGCATAGGGCATACAGATGCTCAGTCACTGTGTTGTGTACCTGAACTAATGTAACATTGTGTGCCAACAGCAAAATTCATCAGTGATTGTCCATCATTTCAGGTAGATTTCACACGGACCACTGTTGGACTCTGCTGCTCTGTCGAAGCCACGGCCAAAGGCAGGGTCTCTAATTCTCACGCAGAGATAAGGTGCTCATGGGCACGAGAGCACTGGGCATGTCTAGTACCTGCCCTAGGGGTTCCATTCATTAACTCAGTCTGTGCTCACAACAACCTACCAAGGTAGGCACTTTCCTTTCCTCCCGACAGATGGGGAAACTGAGACCTGGAAGCGGAAGGGGCTTGGCCAAGGTCACACAGGTGGTGAAGGGGTCGGCAGGGGTGAGCCCATCTGGCCCCTGTGGTGCTTGGCTCTTAGCTCACGAATGTCACAGGGTGCTGAGGATTGCAATCCTGTGCTTTTTTGCTTTGTAGACTCCTTTTCCTTAACTCTCAGGAAGGCAGAAAGTGAACCAACTGTGTTATTGTCAACCCTTCTGTTTTAGCTTGTCTCCTTTCCACGAGTCCGATGGCTTAGATGGGGGTGATTCTTGATCACCATTACTCCCCCAGCGTTCTCTGCTGACTCAGCCCTTGCTGCCACCCAAAGTTGGAGTCTGTGGCAGCTGCCTGGTGGCAAATCCATGTTTTCAGGAATGAGGTGGCTTGGGGGCTGCCCTTGTACACCTCCGTGTCTCACACAGGTTTCCAGATATCATGGGCGCCCCTTGTCTCCTTGCTGGCTGGCCAGCTTGTCTTCCCCTGCCTGTGCTGACCCTCTCCCTCAATCCCCTGCAGGCCCCCCTTGCCAGCCCTCTGCTCCCTCCATCTCTGGGCAGGAAGTGCCCACATTTAGGGACCCAATTTCTGCCAGAAATTGCCATAAGGCTTCCAGGCTGTCATTTCCCTCCTCCGTCTGTTTCTCATCTGTCTTTGGTCTCTGGGCTGTTCGTAATTCCCATGCTGGTGTTTCAATGTGGTGCAATATTTGCTTGTTTTAATCTCCCTTCTCAAAGTTGATCAGGAGGGGAGAAGTCAGGGTGTGCTCAAGTTGTGACCCCAGGAGCCACATTTTATGTGGCCTCTATTTATGAACACATATAAATGAATATAAAATAAAAATATAATACATATATGGCTTTTACAGATCAAAGCCAACATGCATTGGTCATGTTCCAGGCACCACAATACATTTAATTTAATTAATTTAATTTTTTAAAAGGTTTTATTTATTTATTACAGAGAGGGAGAAAGAGCACAAGCAGGGGACGTGGCAGGCAGAGGGAGAAGCAGACTCCCTGCTGAGCAGGGAGCCCCATGCAAGGCTTGATCCCAGGACCCTAAATTCATAACCTGAGCCAAAGGCAGACGCTTAACCAACTGAGCCACCCAGGCACCCCTAAATTTTAATTTTGTAACCATCATGATACTATTTGTTTCATGAAGAAACTAAGAAGTTAATCTGTATTTGCCCAACCTTGCAAAAGTATCCAGGAGAAAAGCAAAAATTGGAGTCCAGTTTTCTATAACCCTGGAACCTGGTTCTTCAACAACTGCAGATATGGTCTTCTGTTGTTATTATTATTGTCTCCTTTAGGGACAAAAAACCCATAGTTTTTAAACAAATGGATCCTTTCCTCGGGGAGTGCAGTCTTGTGCATGGATTCAAATACTGCATCTCCCTTGTATGTTAGGCTCCATGCTGGACCTGCACATGCAAAGAGGCGAAAGCATAGTGTCCCCGTCCTGACGGTGCTTAGGATTTAATACAGGATCAGTCTGGCTCGCCTCACTTCTAGTGTGTGTGGTGGTGTGCAGATGCACAAGGACTAGGAGAGACAGGAGAGGACCCAGAGGCTGCGTTTCTGCGCTTGTCCGTTGTCTGAAAATCCCAGAGAGAGAGAATGTATAGGTGGGAGTAACCAGATGTCTAACGGTGTTGTGACCCTAAGTGTGGCAGGCAGGAAAGGTTGGGTGGTCCTTACTTTGTGCTTGGACTCCATGGTGTGAGTCCACCTTTTCCCCATCTTTTGTAGGTATAATTTTGCTTCTCACCTTGGAAGTGGCCCCTACTCGCATAAGGCCATTCTTCACAACCCTCATCTGAAATACCTGAACCTGCCTGGCATGAGCCTCTCCCACATGGATGTCAGGCAGCTGCGTGAGATGCTGAAGCACCTGGTGTACAGCACAGACGAGCTGAGGTAAGTCTCGGGTTGTCCATGCGTGGGGATGCTTCTCATCCAGCATGGAATTCACAGTTTGAATATGCCCATTTCCTTCCGCCATCAACATTTGTCTCCTACGTTGAAAACTTTCCACCTCAGCATCTCCAGACCTCTCAGAAAGTTTGTTCCAGCTTTCTTTCCTTTTTCTTTTCCTTTCTTTTTCTTCTTTCTCTTTCTCCTTTTTCTTCTTCCTCACTTCCTGTGGACACCTGACCTGCCTCTTCTTGGTTCTGCCCTCAACGTCAACCATGCCAAAATCAGAACTCCATTTTTTCCCCCTGAAAATATTCATACTCATCTTAAAATGAGAAATCGTATTAATGATCACAAGTGTGCTCTTGTGAATCTGGTAGGTGACCACGTGGAGGTCATAAGGGAAGCCATTTGCTCCAAATCATTTCTTCCTCTTGAAAATTATCTGGGATGCTCCTCCCATGGTTGGGTGGTTTCTAGGCAGGCTCAATCCATATTTCAGCAGAAAGCAAAAGGGGGAAGTCATAGAGGTAGCAATCAACAAAACCAACTCATTAAACCCACTTGGAGAATATGCTCTTCTCTCTCCTAGTTCAGCATCTCTCCTTTGCTGTAACAGTTGCGAATATAATTAATGGATTCACATACACTTTGTTTTTTTTTT